AATATTGGTTAACATACAGGCTAATGAAAGTGAAGTAAATATATTCACAATCTTAATTATTTCACATGGGTGTAAAATAATTTCGTCAATATTTTCAATAAGCTAAGCTATTTAATAAATTAATAAAACATTAGATGGCGTTGTATAGATGCTTTATTAATTATTGTTTAAGATTATCGCCAAAAAATGGCTTCTATAAAAATACTCGCACACGAAATCGCGGGCAAAAGTAGTGAACATAATAGAACTCATTGTTATTTTAAAGGCATAGTGCACAAACTGCTATAGATTTCATGGAATGCGTATGATATGAGGTCGCGGTAGATGATGAGTACGAGGTTTGACTTTATATTATAGTGAGACTCAGGGCAGTGTAGATGGTAAGGGACGTGAATATTTACGTATTAACTAAAATGGAACATCAGTCCTAATTTAAATTTAATTTCTCTTAACTATTTGAAAAAAAGGATAATTATTTTTAAGTGAGAATATCTAAAACATAGAGTATATATTCTTAAAAAAAAACAAATTATTTTTTTATTACTCTGAAAAGATGTAAACGGTAGGCCCTTCTTCATATAATTGTCCGTTTTTCGAAAACAGGAAGTGGGTTCTTTTTGGACGGTTCCGTTCAAAACGGTATCACGTTAAGTATATTACACCATTTTATATACACTTGTGAGGCGATACAGAGAAATAAGAATTGATATCATTACATTTACATATAACATTTTATAATGTTACTCGGAGCCTTATGAATACGATTACAAATTAAAAATACACCATACAAAGTACAAACATAGTGGCGAGAAAAATAGTTGTCGTTGCAAATGGAATAAGTACGAGTATATATATTTATATATAAAGATAAGTCTAAACTTTAGTAACTATTACTAGGCAGTCCAAGTGTTTGTTTGTTCAGTAATTTGTAAAATTTGATACACAGACAAAGGGTTTAGTAGAACAGTTGGTTTGATCTAAGTGTATATGTTTGTTAAGAAAGCCTAACATGTGGTGAGTGTCATACGAACTGTTGGATTAAGATTGTTGATTCTCTAAAATTAGTATTTACCATATACAAAGTATAAATCAGAGAGTCTAGTATATTAAATATACTAGATAAGTTTAAATGAAAAACTCGATTATCTATGCCAACAAAATGAAACGTGAGTGCTTAGATTGGTACAATACAGTCGGTTACATGCCAGCTCGTCTAAATGTGGCTAACGTTCCGATTTCTATATTTGCCACTACACTGCCTAATCAAATTGATAAAATTTATAATATATCTATGAAACGAACTATAAACGTTTTTAAAATCGGTAGCAATATAAGAGCAGAGCAGTGCCATCCATCGCAACTATTATTATTATAACCGTTCTTAACGATTTACCTCACACGGCATAATCACTGTTCCAAACTGTTTTAGGACTTTGTGTATAAGATTTAATAATATTTATTATTAAAGAATATTATATATCTCAATATGTTCGTAATATATCTATTTTATATCATTACTGTATTAACCGTAATACGAAATACAAGAAAGAAATAATACCATTTTTGAAATATTACGGAGTTTTTAGTGGCACAAAGGAAATAAGACAAAATACGTAATAACCTGGTGGATTAATAGGATTATACCAAAATAAAAACTTGATATTGGTATATAAATATAAGAAGATGCATGTACAATACTTTACTAGTCAGTCTTCATAATATCATATTAATAATTATTAATTAATAATATCATATCAGGTTGCACACAAAAATATACAACAAAATTACTACGTTGTTTGCTGGACGATTCCTCGCACGAATCAAACAATAGTATTAAAGAATATGATTGTTTGTATCGATCCAGGTGTTGTCTATGTATATTATGTAAGTATCTACAAAAAAATAAGTATTTACATCAGTTGTTTAGTACCTATACCACAAGGTCTGTTTATCTTGGCACTAGATAGAGCTGTGTAGATTGTTCTGGGGTTTTATTTATTTATTTATTACACGAAAATAATATTTACGATACGAATGAAATGTGGTTCTAAATAATCTTCATACACTCTGTACTACATTATGCTAATTGAATTCAGTTGTTTACGAGAGGGTTGTGAGGTCGCTCCCATTATTACTGGCTAGTCAATTACACCACCTGTAAACATTCCACAGCCCTCCCTTTAACAATACCTTGCCGTTTTTAATTCAAGCTACACCCTTGACTAACTCTCTGTTCCACCACCAAGATTTAACTTTGAGATATTTCACAATTTAATTTTGATAATTATTATGTAATTAGAAATATTGAATATATCTAAATTGAAATAGATATTGTTTCTATGGAGGGAAATAACATATCGTTCATGGATCTGCTCATTATCATTAAACGATCCTACCTACGTAGATGCTAACAATACATAATTAAGATCTGATTACACAAAAAACCAATGCCAGTTATGAAAAAAATATTTACCAACAGAAGGGATTAAAACCGGTCGATCGTAAAAAGGTCATCAAAAACTGTTCAGAATTAGCAAAGTAATACCACAGATAATATAATATTACATAGTAATACATAAAACCTAATATAAAAAAAGTAATTTATAATTCCTATCATGAATTGTTAATGATAAAAGCATGGACTTTTTGAAGTCTGTTAAAAAGATAAACAAAAATATTTAATTCACATCACTGGCGTCAACTTTTATTGTTTTTGTATGTAGTGCTTTAAAATTATACAATAAATATATTTTTCAATTTATTATTCTACTTATGTATCTGATTTCAATGCTTATATTTCGGTAGACACTATACATATATGTACTTTCAAATAGCTAAACTGCATTCATTGTTTACCATTTTAATTTCTAGGTATGGAAACTGTATGCATGATGTTATAAATTTAACAAGTTTTGGACGTTTTATAAAAAAATAATCAATATTATATTGTTTTATTTCGATCGAAAATAGCAAAAACAACGATATTATTAGTGTAGTGTGTATTTACGAAAGACGACGCTAGCCACTATCTAGTCGACCAAAAACTTATAAACCACTTGTTATATGTATTAAAAAAACTTACATTCAATTCAAGAAATGCTAAAACAAGATACAGGAAGATCACTAGCCCAAGTGACGATACGACTATCAATGTTGCTGGGAAAACTAACTCTATTAAACTATCAAAGTAACTAATAATTAATCTCAGATCATAACTTTGTTCGATGCCGTCTTAGGGTCATGGTCAATATGGAAACACACCTAACCTTTCAGTAGATACTTAATATTTAGCTGAATTTGTTCTCATATAAAGAATAGGTAGATCACTACTCCTTTTCATCCTCTGGATATTGTAAGTGATGACTAGGGATATAAAGTACAAAAATAACTCACACCAAGTCCAATGTGAACATTGATAAGTAAAGGTTAAAATGATAAGAATAACAATTTAAATCTTAGTAATATTATTGAATTTTTTTTTTATAGATTCCATTATCATTTAGTGAACGAAAACACAGTTTACAATTTGCTATTTAATTTTCGTGTCATACTTGGTATAATGCTACCAGAGGCAAGAAAATTCAAGGTTACTAGGTAAGCTGTTCTTATTTTAATGTTAATATTAACAATTTTAATGTTAACATTAATAAACTTTCAATGTTATCGTTTTACAAATAATTTAAGTTATTCATCCCAGTTCGCAATGGAATATTACAAAATACCATCTCCGACATTGCTACGCTTTTGATAATTCCTTTTGTGTAAAGTTTAGGTAATCCCATGTTGATACCATACTTAATTAATCTCAATATAATTAGCTATTTCCAGTACAATGACATCTTCAATTGTGCCTTATGAATTTTTATTTTATTGTACAATAAACTGTTATTTTACCTTAACTTGAAAGGAATTTCATATTTTGCATAACCCCTCGGCAGCAATATAAAGCACGTCAGTGTACCGTTAATTTAATATTCTATTTAATTAAATTCCATAAATTTAATTCCGTTATAAACTGCTCTGTCGTAAGGATGAGATTGGGTACATTCCAGGGAAGTCAATATCTATAGACACCTAAATGTGTCAGCGATTGTATCTCTTGCACAGTTAAATAAATATTAAAATCAATAAGATATGGTATTAGAATTTTAAGCAAATTAGAAGTACTTGGTAAATACTGAAAAACTGGTAAATAACTTCGAGGTGTAGTAAAAGGCTAAAGTCAAATTTGAATTGGTTGATGGATATAGAGGAAGCGAAAGAGATCTATTTAAATTTTGGCATTCCAATATTTTGTCTACTGGAGATAGACATAACATATGACAGTATAGCTACGTATGTAATATTGATTTATTTTTCTCTTTACTATTTATATTTGTATGTATAAGCGGAGAAGATTAGTTATTTTTCTTAAATGTTGTTGTATACTGTTCTGAAATTAGTAATTTATTTTGTTGTCAACATTAGATTAAGTTGAAACTTAATGTAGTATCTGTAAGATAATAATATAGTAGATATTATTAAAATAAGTATATAATATATCAAATTTTATAATGGGGTTGAAATTATGATGGCTGAAGCCGAGGTTCAAATCCGTAACGGTGACCTCAGACTAAAGTCGTATTCATCAGGCAGGAGGCCTTCAGGCCTTCAGCCGCTTTATGAAGTCTAAGTACAAGTATAAAGTTTTTAGTAAAAAAATATAAAGCTATCAAAACATACACATTTAACTAAACATTTTTGTACTCAATTTAGTATTGAGTCGTTGAAATATAATATGTAATATTTGTTTTTCAAATGTCTATAATGCAGCTTAAAATAAACAAGCTGACAATATACCTAATAGAAACTACGAGTAGTATATATATATATATATATATATATATATCTTCAAACATTGACATGAACAACACGGCGGGGAACTCGGAAAAAGTTGCGCCACCTGTGGAAACTCTCACGCACTGAATTTATTCTATATTTCCAATATTTTATCAACTTACCTGAACTGATCTCTGGCATTAAGGGTCTCTTGTTTAATAGACAATATAACAGGGCCCAGGTCTTCATCGTTAGTGAAATAGTTCCAATGCTCAGTTCCGTAGAAGTACTTCTCGTAAGTCTCTTGTTCAACGGAGGTGAGTTCGAAGCCACCAGATCTCTCCCATTGTTCCTCAATGACAGTTTTTTTCTTCGGAGTGCTACCCCCGTTGTCGCTACTATCCTCTGCAGCCTCGTCCAGGGAACCGGATCTTCTATGACGATCTGAAAAAAATACTATATAGAAACTACTATATATAAAAACTCTTGCTTGTTTTAGTTTTGTTGTATCTACTTAATATAGAGTTTTTTACTGAGGTGGCCTTTGTACAAGTTATTTGCGTAGGTACAGTATACGTTTTTATTATATCGCAAGTTTAATATAATAATTAATTAACACAAAAACTATAAACTTTAGGTACGTCTGTTTCACCTATTTCAGCCCTCAAGCAGATACCCCTGTTAGATATTTCGGTTGACTGGTGAGACAAGGCAGTGAAATAACTGGATACGGAGGCCTGACATCTTAATCCACTGGAATGGGAACACATAATTGTTATTGTGAGTATCACATATTAATGCGATGTCTGTAGTACCGTACATGTATATAGGTAACGGTTGCTATATACCATCAGGTGGACAATTGATTTGTTTGTTATTCTAGCTATGTAAAAAAAGTCTTATATGCTGAAAAGTAGTAATACGATAAAACTTGTAATAAAAACATGTCTCAAATGCTAATTATATCCTATTCCGAAGCTATGGAACAATATTAATATTAATAAAGTTAATCGGGTCTTACTAATAATTTCTCGTATTGGATAATATAGAGACGGTAGATGAAAAACTGCTCTCACCGACACTTAATCGTGATGCTCCAGTCAGTTTGTGACCACTGCTAGTGCAACCTAATTGTAACGTTGAGATATGTAAATAAACTTTATTTATAATATTTTGCTACACTACTGTAATAGGCTAAGACCTGTAAAAATAGCTGAAAGTGTGGAAATAAAATAAAAATAAAATTTATTTTAGGACCCGATAACTAAATATATTGGCAATATACTAAACAAGTATAAAAAATATTTATTCCTGAAATTGAAATTGAATTGAATTGCTAAATGAAATCAAAATAATTTTTTCTCTTAAAAATATCATACAAACATAGATTGGATTTAATTGTTATTAAATTGTTAAATGTTTTGGCTTGATAAATTATTAAATTGTATTTAATGATTTGATTTCCCGCGTTTTCTGCATAAAAACTGAGATGGATACATTTGATATGTGTTATTTGCTTAAAAAATAAACAATGTTCTCCTAATAAAATATGTGAAATCGTGTTTGCCTATGTGAATCTCAATTCGAGGCGAGATGTCAGCAACATCGCCCATTACAACTCCATCATATGAATAAAAGAACGAATGGGTTGTACGTAAATGAGAGGAAAAATCATAAAGCACACGTCTAATGTCTCGCGATTCATATTTGACGATGTAAGCATTTGGGCGTTATTATTTTACAGAGCCGAGAAGGCGGCAAATCTCATTTTTAATTCCCACAATGCGAAGTCACCGTAATCGGATTACTTGCGACAATTCCTGCGCTGCGAGATAATACCGAAAATTATAAACAATATACATTTATTGTAATCCCAGTTTCACCATTACAGGTAGATATGGGATTAGAAGATTTTAATGGCAGACATTTTATGACATGTGGTATTGGCGGTGGATTAGCAGGGAGGCGCCCTGTGTCACAATATACTTAGAGTAGCTTTTACCCACGACTTCATCTGCTATCTTACTAATATTATAAACGTGAAAGTTTGTCTGTGTAGGTGGATGGATGGATGTTTCTTACATTTTCACACAAACACTTCTGAATTGATTTTAATGAAACTTTATAATAATATAGCTTATACATCAGAATAATACATAGGCTATAAATTTTAGGCGGATGAAACCGGGAGCTCACAAGTTTGGAGATGAAACATAGCCAATGTGCTTCGTCGTGATGCAATCTCTATTCACGGCTTTAAGAACCATTCTAACAACAAATGGTTAAAAAATTATTAATAAATAATAATAATAAATTTCTTAAAAGATATATCTAAATTTACGTTTTTGGTAATAGGGTTTATTTATTTTTCTTCCACAAAACTTTAAACTTTAAAGAGTACAATTTAATTATGGAGACGGGAAATTTAACATTAACTCTAATTAACTGCTAGAGAGTGTCTGTACAATACTGATTAGAGATTACCAAGCTTCAAACTCTCGACCTTTTTAAAACCGACTTTAAAACGAAGGAGGTTCTAAGTTTATCTTTGTATTTTAGGGAATACTAGCAATTATAAACTCCGTTTGCATTTTCAAGATAATATATCTATTAGCTTGAAAATGGACTATCGTCCATGTGCATCTTAGTGATGTCATCTTTGTTCACGTCAAATTTCATTAAGTTTTATTTAAGTATATTATATTCATCAATGTTCACAATATAGATAGTGATGTTCACTAATTTTGCACAAACTTTGATGCTTATGAATTGGTAGGATTTACTCTCATTATAAATAAATTACGTTGATTTGAATTAAGTTTTTTATAAAGATATAAAACTAAACCTACATTTTAAAAACGATAAAAAAATAAAAACATTTTCTACATAAAACTATTTTTGGAAATGCTAGCTCAGTACTTGATGAAGGTTATATGTTGTCAAAGATCATTTCGCCGTTCTTTGTAAATTAAATAACGACCGTAACCTCTCTAGGTTATGCTAGTATAATTATTGTCTGTTGACGATATAACTAATACCAATGCAAAACTATATGTACTCCTTAAATTAATATGTTTTCTTGATTAAATTAACAAGTAAAGAGATAGTTTTAGTTCAGTGACACTCGTTGGGATCTATTACTACCAAAGAGGCTAAGGAATGTTTAGTTGGATCGACCCTTATATGGAAGACTGAGTTTCGGAATATGAAGGCACGTGAAGCCATAGAGCGCGATTGTTGACTCTAGATTATGATCGTTAAAGTCAAGTTCTTGAGATTGAAAACCGACTGGGAGGCATTACAATAATGTTCAGTATAGTCACACATTAAAAACTTTGTAATAATATACATATACCATGTATACTTATAAGAAATTGTTATTGTATATATGTTATAGACGGCAGGAGAATGTGAATAGGAGAGTGTGATTTAGTGGTTCATTACTATGACTTGTGGACGCTGAAGTGTGTCCGAAACTGGTTGATACCTAAAATTCTGTTTCACATATTTGTATTTCTAAATAACTTTTTGATTGTCGAAACGATGATTACATACCAATTTACGGCGGCGCGGCGGCGGTACGATTGCCCTTTTGAATCATGGAGTCAAAACACATACTGCAATTATTTGGGAATAGCAAGTGTTAGTATGGGCAGTATTAACTAAATAGATAATGTATTTAAAGGTATTTATAGAAATAAAAACGTATATAGAATACAACAAATTAGCAAACAATTTGTAATGCAACAAAACAGTATTTTTGCAGAAAAAGTATTTTAATAGTCTATTTTATTTTCCCGTATGTGCCACAGATTCATAACATTGCACGACGCTCAGCCACAGATGAGGGTATCATAGCTGTATGCTCTTTTAATACTTAGCATCAATATTAGTTGCATATTTTCAACTGAACGTCTACATCAACAGATGAAAATGACTACCACATCTAGTATTATAGTCGTGAAGCTATATTATCAATAATAATAGGAGAATTATATTAAATATTATTGAAATATTCAAGAAATTAGAATATGGTTGAAAAAACCGTTTCGAAATTTATTCAAACGCAATAATTCTATTGGATTATGAATTCCATATTTAAATATTAAAATGAAGAATGTAACCTAAGTATGCTTTCAGAAGAAGGGCACCTGTACCTACAAGTTCTTCAAAATCAATAGTAAAATTAAAAGGAATGATATTTAAGTACTTGTTATTAATTAAATTCTCCTTGGAAATTACGTGGAATTTAATGTTGATATTACTCTACAGATATGAATAGAGTGTACTTAGTTTAGGTTCCTCGATCAATATAATTATACTTTCTGACTTATGTAATTATGCAATTATAAATAGACTGTCTATTTCTCGTGATGGCACTCGCACAACCCGATATAACCGGTGTTCATGGAGTTTAAACTTGAAAAATAGTTTAATTTCTATTGAATGCCTTATAACATTAATATTTTTTATACATGACAGTTTTCTTTATTTCAACTTTTTTGATATTTTGTACCTGTAATATTACCATTCTCTACTAGGTAACCTCTAGAATCGCAGGGAAAAAAAATTAATATATCTATGAGTACATATAATGTCTCATACATCTAATAAAATATTACATACATTTTAAACAAAACTACACATGATGTATATATGAGATATGAGTATAAATAAGGTGATAATGTAGTTAATTAATTTGGTAACAATTTTTGCATTTAGCTATGTAAATGAGATGCATATTCTGTATTAAGTAGGAATTTTGTAATATTTTATTACATACAATGACAATATTGGGCACATTTGATTCACCAATTAATACTTTAAATAGAAGACATAGATAAAGTCACTACTATACACTAGTATCTCTCTCTCTCTTAATAAATTCATACTGCTAAATTGGTGTTGTGTACGCTGCTTTATAATAATACAATTTAAATCAACAATTTGCTACCATAAAGGAGCTTGTCCAATGGTTCTCCATACATTCTGTACACGTTTTCAATTTATCGGATGGCATTGTTGCTATCTCTGTTTACGTGTGACGTTAGGGGCGGATTTTAATTAAATTTACACGGTATATCCATGTTAATTGGAAAACTATTCTTTAAGCTTACATGATCAGAACATGCTTGTTTATTCATATTTATGTTACTGAATTAAAAGTCAACACTAGCTGTATCTTTTCATAGAAAGTTATTCTATCTTAGTTAGATATCTTTTTACATAAAAGTATAAACATTCAAATATCACGAGATTTGTTCATTTCAAATAGTCATAATCAGATGTGTCTTAAAAAAAATTGACAAAAAGTCAACAGAGGAAAACGTAGAGCTGGGACTTTTTTTATTATTCTTGAAGAAATCATTAAAATTCATTCAGTTATGTGGAGAAAACACGGCAATATGCAATTACTATTTATTCTGTTTTTGTTTGTATAATCA